CCCCCATGCACCCCTGTTGACCAGAGCCTGGGGGGCGCGCACCCCCCCCCCCCCCTAAATCCACCACTGAACCATGCTATTACTTATTAATTAATAATTTACATAAAAATGTTCGAGACAATTGTAGTTTTAACTAAAGGCGGTTTTCCACTGGGCGAAATTTTTCGACCGAATCGAAATTTCTATTTGTTTCATGAGCTCTCGAGCAGAAATAATTGTAAAAAGACAAAGAGAAATTTCGTTTCGGTCGAAAAATTCCGTTTCGTGGAATCGGGCCTTAAAGGCGGTTTTCCACTAGGCGAAATTTTTCGATCGAACCGAAATTTCTATTGTTTAAATTCAAAGGATTTCTGTTTAGTTCCATCTGAGTGCTTGTAAGACAAAAGAAAATTTCGCCTCGAAAAATTATCCTCTTACAAGCACTCAGATGGAACTAAACAGAAATCGTTTGAATTTGAACAATAGAAATTTCGGTTCGATCGAAAAATTTCGCCTAGTGGAAAACCGCCTTTACGCGTTTATAGCGAACATTCCACTAGCAAAGTTCTCCTGGCTTTGTTATATCACATTATACAACGCTAAGTTAAGGCAAAGGCTTTTCCATTTAAAAAAAGATAAAAGCCATATTTTTCAACCGAAGTCAACTTTCACTTCATGTAGCGCGGCGCCATGTTTGTTTTGTTTTGGTTTAGTTGAAGCAATCTGTGACCGTTAATTCTTTAAACTAATCTGCTTTAAACTGATTGGTTGATTTACTCATCACAATGTTTTTCCACCAATCAGATGAGTTTGTTACAAATTTTTGCACTGTTGTTACAGATTTTGCACTGCTGTTTGGGATTAAATGCACTGAAACCAACCAATCACAGTCGAGTAATATCTTTATGTATATTATATCTGATACAACACTCCTACTCGTGTTTTGAGTAGCTTAAAATACGACTACAAAAGAATACTAATTAGGATGAACAATTATATAATCATACTAATTAGGATGAACAATTATATAAAGAATACTAATGAAGATGAGTTTTATCAGATATAAAGTCACTCCACGTGACATATTATGGCTGACATGATTTACCACAAGGTCTATGAATTATGAATTATTAATGAGTATTTTAATCATATTTACAATAATTACGTCACAACGATTAAGTTAGTGTTGATCTTACAGTTACGATGGGTTAGGATCTTACGGAGATTGTATTTAAACTGGGGTAAGTTGTTAATGTGGAAAGATGAGGCCGTTTTTTATATATCGTCAAATTAAGGAGCAAGTCAGCATTTACTACTGATAAGTATACTAGTATATATTCAATATTCGGAGCCTGTCAGCCCTGCCTGCCACGCAGGCTAATTCAGCAAGTGACTACGAGACTTTCAAACAAATAATTTTCATATCATAAATTTGTTTAAAACAGTCAACCAGGCGATTTTCAAATTAAAATAGACAAAACTAATGGAACTAATTGGTGCTTTTTATTAATGAAGTTTTAATGACGAATCACAGTTGAATCGCGTATTGACAAACAATGCAATGTATTTATCTAATTTCCTATTGAATAAGCTTCCTATGATCGATGATGATGAAACATGAAAGCGAACATGATGAAAGTGAGCCAAAACATATTGAAAAAGATTTATTCAAAAAAGCAGTAATAACAAGGCGTTCTACAATTATAGCTTAAATCCGTCAATAAGAATTATATTATATAACCATGCGCGGTAAGATAATTAATTTTACTGTTATAACACTACACTTTTAATTAACCGATTATAGAATAGACGTTGCTGACCTAATGCCGCCACGCATTCTTAGTTCATATTTGTGCGGATATCTATTGTTCTCAATAGGGTTTTATTTGGGTAAGAATCTAAAAGCAAGGGGAGGGATTTGATATCTCCACAGGGAAAAGCGGGGTTGATGAATAGAATTGAATGCCTAATTAAAAATGCAAGGTATCTAACTCCATAGTGACCCCTTTTGGAGGTCACTATGGAGTTAGATACCTTGAATTTTTAACCAAACTCAAACCCCACATCTCCTTTTCGACTAGAAAACGCTGCACGTCTCTGAGTCGACAAAGAGACAACAGCCGTGTACCTCAAAGCCCGTCAAACTCTACCTTTGGGTAGAATATTTGTCATTCGGTGCACGAGGACTAGCTGAACCGACCATCAAACTTGCTTTGCAAGGAATTTATACAGTAATATCTGCTCTTTCGCTTGTGGGACGCGAAATGATATACTACGCATGCTCAACCACATTAAAGCGTGTTTAATGCGCATGTTCAACCTTATTTCGTCCCACAGCCTCCCAAGGACAATAGAAAATGGTCGGTCTTTCATTGAAATTCAAGCCTCGGTGCTGCACGCCTCGGTCTTGAATTTCAATGAAAGACCTCCCATTTGGTTTTTATCCTACAAATAAAACCCTGTTGAGAACAACTTGAGAATTTCTGCTTCGACAAACCCGTACAAATCTTCGTTAGCTCTTCTCGGTTGTATGAGCTATTTCAAACATATTTCATCGTAATTGTGGGATTTGTGGTTGGTGAACGAATATTTAATCACTTCTCATTGATAATATACAGTAGTGCGACACGAGAATTGATGCATATCAAAATAGCCCTGTTTGTTTTTATTACAACCATGGTAATTCAAACTCATTTAAAGAACAATACATATCATAAAGTAAATTTCATTGTGGGTCAATCCTTACAAATATGAACTAAGTTAGTTAGATACCTCAAACGTCGGCTCTTAGTCAGATAAATCCCTCGGGGCCTACGGCCCCTCGGGTTTGTATCTGACTAAGAGCCTCCGTTTTCGGTATCTAACTCTTACATAATCTATTAAATAATGGCTTCTTGCCAATACATTACACACGTGAAAATTTACGAATTATTAGCACAATGATATATAGATAAAATGGTATTAATATCAGATTAGAATCGGTATCCTATACCATCAAGTCACGAACATCAATCGTTTTAATCGCTGTCCGTCGGTATACATAATCTAATCACGATGTTCGATGCCGATGGGAATCGTTTGATTTTCTTGTTGATGCATGAGCACAAAAAGAAATCAAACTCTTCCAATTAATGTGAAGATGGAATAGATTTTCCCTAAAAGGCTTCAAAATATATGTACAAAGTCAGTTTTATAACAACCTGTAGTATAAGTTTGCAAATAACCTGTGAGATCTTTATCTTGTATTTCTACAATCTCGCAATTGTGTTTTTTTTCGAAAACCAGTACGCCTTGTCCCAAACAAATCTTAGAAATGCATGCTTGAACCTTTTAAATTACTCTGTAAACATCGTCGATCAAGATATTGTCCTGAAATTTTTTCTGTGTAGGTGTAATGTTCTCAGGTGAATATGATGCTTGTGATGTTACTCTGAGTGTATATCCACACGGGGCAAGCTTGAAAAATATGCCTGGCTACGGTGGGAATCGAACCTACGGCCTTTGGAGGTCAGTTGGAAGAGCATTGGGCTAGTATTCCAAAGGTCGTAGGTTCGATTCCCACCGTGGCCAGGCATATTTTTCAAGCTTGCCCGGTGTGGATATACACTCGGAGTAACATCACAAGCATCATTGTCCTGAAAATCGGCCAAAGTCTTTGTTCCACCTTTTCGTTCATGTTTTATTTTATACCAACTTGTACACAGAAAAAATAGATTTGGGGCATAATGAGGCAATCATGCACTCAATGACATCCTCTTATCAAATCGGCCAACCGTAACTGTCTAACTTATGTATGTCGTGAACATTATATGTATAAATGTAATATTAGCCAAAATATTTCTTTTTAAACCGTTAACGTTCTCTGAAGAAGAGACCAATGGCTTTGCTTTCGTTGCACGTCTGAAACTATTAATTGGGAATGTATGTCTGAAAAGTATCTTTTACGGCCATTATTACAGCATGTCATAATAACCCACAATAAGAAACGATCCAAAATATGTTCGATTGTATACGATTTTCCGAACAAGAGGCTGCATTCATGTTGGCAGGTGGATATGCAAAACTCCATTAAAACTCTAGAAAAAGACTAGTATTGTAGTATAGTTTACAAACAGACTGAAAAGTAGAGATACATTTGTGCAACTGAAAGTCTATAATAACCCTCACGCGTGGCTTTGTTTTTCATCCGTTTTTGAAAACCTGCCGAATGACAAATAATAAAAAAACTTACTAACTTTGACCGTTCAGGGCCGGCTGTATACGCGGAAATACCTCGCTATCGCTCGGTCAATTCAACAATACCTCGATTTGATATTTTCCCGTACTATCCTCACTCTCAGTCAGTAAGTTAATATACTGAATGAGAATTTGTCTAAAGAAACAAATTAAATAAGTACTTTATTTCTGACCGTTGAGTATCTAAACACATACTTTTATTGTTATGTTTTAGTAAAACCGTTCCTAGCCATTTATCGCTTCTTCTAAAAATATTAACTCAAGTTTAAACGCAGATATTTCGGCCATTATTTCATCATGGAAATGTTTACAGCTGCATAGCTATATCGAAATTAAGTCAGACAGTACTGAATTCAATACTATTTCTTCGAGTGAAATAGTTTCTTTCAAAGTATTAAAATAATGCATACATGCATGTTGGGAAACTTCTATTGCCATCAACACATTGATTTTATGGATCTGGTAATTTGGTTGGATAGATTGGGGCTGCATTAGGGCCGATATCTGGATCTCCATTCTCTTCAATTGGTGTCTGAACCAACCTGTTACCGTGGATAAGCAGTTCTTTCATGATTGCTACTGTATCGCCAAACAAGAACGTGTTTCCGTCAAAAACATTTTGCAATTTTTCCAACATTTTCCAATATGTTTTGCTGAATGATTTTGCTACATATTGAGTTCGAGTGCCGTTCTTGTACATTGACATCATAGGATTGTCCACGATGGGCCAGACACCGTCTTCATCGAAAGGCAGTGATCTTCCTATGTACGCAAAAGTATCTGCATTCTCCCCTACACATTCCTTCAGAAAAAAAGCACACGAGTATAAATCAAAATTAGAATAAAGTAAAGATATAATTTGACTCATGGCGAGGAAAGCCGAACTGAATAAAATACTTTTTACAACTTAAAAATGTCGACCATATTGTGTCACGTGAATGGTTTTATACCTGGTAACACTACTCACTAGTAAACGTTTAGCTCTAGAAACACTATGTCTATAGAACGATAACTCTTTTGATCGAGTCCTGTGATTAGCTGAAGCCAAGTTAAACATTAATTGCAGATAAAAGCGTAAACCGCGCAAGTATAAATATGCTTTCAAAAGGCAAGGGAAAATAATGAGTGGAAAAAAGTTGAGCAACCATTCGTGTTTGAAGTCTTCAATTAGCCTTTCTCACGCCGCCATTTCTGGGTAGCAACCTTTTTAGAACAGAGCGGATAGTAAGCATGCGTGAAAATTAAAATTTCTATAACTTCTACAGGGTGTATCAAAATAAACGCAATTCATCTTTTGTGCTTAATAACTTTCGAAATACTATTTCTAGTTAAACGCTTTTAGACTTACTTCAAAGCCTGTTCTTTTCTCTTTCAAACAAACTATTATCCTTGTCTCCAATGCTAGTAATAATTGCACAGGAAAAGATTTAGTAAAACCTATCATTTTAGTTGCTGTTTAATTATGCAAGTTTACTATGTTATTGTTTAGTCGGTTTAAATGTTAGAATTTTCTTCTTTAAACTTTAATGTTGTCGTCACTACATCTGGAAAACCACGTAAGAACAAATTAAAAGTATTTTAAAAGAGACCAGGTTGTTTGAAAATCCTAAACGAATGCTAAAATCGTCAAAACATTCTGGTGTCTGAGCCAGAGTGTCATCGAATTGCGATGTAATGTAAACAGAAATTATAGCAAGTTGATGTCAGTCAGCTTAGATGGTCCAAGCCAAAATTATATCGCATTTGAAGTTTCAAACTGAGTTAAAAATAGTGGAAGAAAAGCCGTAATTATACTTATTGTTACAATCCATTTAATAAAATGCAACATTTTTGTTTTAATGAAAAAATCAGTTATTTTCATGAGAACGATTTGTTATTCCATCTCAATTTTTTTAATCTCCAATCGCAATAACGTAAAGTATTATTACCCGCGAACCAATGAGTCAAATTTAAGAAACAACTCACTGTTAGAAAGCTGAATGGCTACGCTTTAAAATGAATGTAAACTTTAACGTTTTCGTCTATTATTTGTTTAGCAATTTACATTTCAGTCGAGGATTGCGCTTTTTTTTATACACCCTGTATAACTATAGTTGTAAGTATAATCATTATAAATTGATTTACAGTTAAATATTTGAAAAATTATTTTCACATCGCCTAGATTTTTCACGTTGTTTATAAAATAGTACCCAAAAATGGCTGGATAGTTTTCACTGTTCTTCACTTAACAAATACAGCAAATGGTACAGACGTAACTGTATTGTTGTACACGAAAAAGTGGCAATTGTATTATATGTAATTTTCGACAACATTTCGGTCATTTCGACATCGACGGTTCCAAAACTTATATATTTAATATTTTATAGTGAAGTCCAAGTAGTCCAAGTAATTAGTGAATTTTATCATCGCTGTAAATGCTTTAGAACGTGAGAAAATGCATGTAATTTCAACACCCACAAAATATTTCAGCGGAAACACAGTGACAAAAAACAACTATTTAATTGATTTAAAGACCTACGTTATCAAAACCAGTAGATTTAACCTAGAAAAATAAAGAGAATATCTTAGTTTAGTATTATTATATGAGTGATTATAAAAAATTCGCAACGCTGATTGGTTGCGTTACCACGGATTGCCAGTGTTATAATGCGATAATCATCTAATGCGTTAACTTTCTTTCAAATGGCGGCAACTCGTTTTGAAAATTTAGCGAAGAAATAAACAGTTTTAAATTAAAGAGACTTTTTTTAAATCATCTGTGTAACTACATTAAAATAATTCTTTACCTCAGGCTCGGTAAATAATTGTTAAATAGATGCAAATGAAAAATTAAAACATAAATATTTCAACTTTGATCAAACGACTATTATCTGTCTATTTTTTAACAATTATTGGATGAGGTTTTTGTGATATGTGGAATTATCAAGGCCAAGACCTTGATAATTTTGCATATTGTAAAAACTGTATTCAATAATTGTTTTATTATGCATTTGTTTGTGTTAAATAGATACCGCTTGCTAATCATCGCAGGCTCATTTGCAGATAACTCAGTTATCTGCTAGCAGATAACTGAATCAGTTTGTGTAGGTTGCGTGATTGTGCGCGGATTTAACTGTAAGCTCTTAGGGGCGGACCATTAGAAAAGTGATGAGGGGGGGGGGGGAAACAAAAAAAATTCGTGCAAGGCAAATTAACTTTAAAAAAAATTCCTGCATGATCAAATTCGAGGAAAAAAAATTCCTGCAGAGCGCAATGAAAAATATAATTAAATCATTGTTGGCGAGATTGTTCATTGTTGGAAAACAGGGCCAAGCTTTATTTTATTCTGGACTTGCAATCTGCGATGTTAGTCATCTTTCAACAAAAGTAGGTCGTTTAATATCTTCTATAGACGTCTATAGAAGATTATAGAATGGTGGGCCATGTAGCCGCAAATTCAATTGCGGTGCCTTTGGCTTTGCATCATTTGGAATGGTATATAAGAATTGGACGGCTTCATGTAATCATGTATGTCTTTTAATCAGAGTCAGACACAGGTATTAAACTGACTCGCACAGAGATACTACTGAAATCGTAAATTCGTAAAATAAATTGGAACTTGAACTTGAAAACGTATTTTGTATAAAATATGTGTTTTTAATAAAAAGTCTGGTATTGGGGTTTGGCTTTGGGTGAATGGGTGGGGCTAGGTCTGAGGAAAATGAGAGATCTTTGTCTTTTGACTCCATGGCTGTATTAAAATATATAATAGTTTTCTACAACTTTTCAAAAGTAATTGTTCAAGGAATTTAATCACATTATTTATTGAAAGAACAGAAAATAGTTAGTCTTTTTCTTAATATAAACATGAAAACTGTATAGATCGTACACAATATCAACAAAAACATTTGAAATTATAAAATATAGTTTAGGGGCCGTTCACAAAATAGGTGACGCTATTTTAGTCAATTTTTCAGACCCCCTACCCCTATGTGACGTTGTGTGACGACTGCCAAAATACCCCCTCAAAAATTACCTATTATGGCACATATTCCTATTCACACGACTGTCAAATTGTTAATACGCGAACAACAAATCTCTTGCTGCCTGTATTAGTAAAACTCGATAAATCTAAAATGCCATCATGCATGCATGAATTTAGTTAGATGCCGGAATTTAGTATAGATGCCGGAATTTAGTATAGATGCCGGAATCAGACTTTTCGAGAAATTGCCAACATTTCAGACTCAGTTGTATAACAAATGTTCACATTTTTATTTGAGTGTTTTCCTTCATTCAATACGTTACTTGTGCTTTGTTAAGAAAACTTCTAGTTTCATGGAAAAAAAAATTCGTGCAAATAATTTGGTGCCAAAAAAAAATTCCTGCAACGCCAAAGCAGTCGAAAAAAATATCGTGCATGCAAGAAAAGTCCCCCCCCCCATCACTTTTCTAATGGTCCGCCCCTTAGCCATTGCTTTTACCAACTACAATGTATAGTAAAAGCAGTTATTGGCAGCTTTCTCGGCTTGTGGTGCATTTATTTATTACAAGTAATAATATGGTTTCGGATCCAATTTGGGAAAAAAGCGTGCAAGAGTATATTTTTTAAAGACTATTGAAATAGCTCGAGTCCGAAGGATGAGTGCAATTTGAAGTTTTAGTGACAGAATCACGGGTGCTTGTTTTCCCAAATTGCATTTCCTATTATTATTCTTTCCACCACTTTCCTGCCAGCATAGGCGGTGCGTTGGGGACATCGAGGCACACAACGGCAAGGTAGCAGCCCATTATAGGGGGGAAATTAGCCTTCGTTTACACTATACCAGATTGCTATCGGAGCGGGTCAAATTTTGCAGGTATTGAAAGGCTGTGAAGATTTTTAAACTCAGAGACCCAAATAAACATGCTAATCCTGTCATTTGCAACTATCATTTGCAACTATCATTTGTAACTATCATTTGCAACTATCATTTGCATTGCTCCTTAACGGCAAAAGAGATGTTGTGACGAGCAATCCGGTGTCTTGGAATTTTACCCCCTCCCCCTACAATTTTGCCCTCCAGGGGGAGAAGTTCCTAGTAATATCGCCCTCCTGGGAGGCGAAATTCTTAGGAAATTCGCCGCCCTTTAGAACTGACTTCACCTTTCCTTTAGGATTTTCGTCCTCCGTTAAACATTTCGCCCTTCCTAACAGTTGCATGGGATAATTATTACATGGCTTTTAGTCATTTGAAATCAGTATCAATTGTTAAGAATACAAATTTACAATTACATGTATCGAAAAGGCTTATGCAGTAGATCAATAGGACTTATGACCCTTCACAGCACACCATGCACATTGTGCAATTTCAGTGTTAATCCTTAAACTCATGATCACCGTGGTGGTTATTGTAATTATTGGTATTGCCAAAACTTGTTTTTTTTAACTGATACAGCAGGCCTGCATGCATAAACTAAATGTTTTTATAATCAGACCGTTTAATTTCATTATAAAAAGCACTAAAATTTACGTAATTGAAAATAATTGAATTGGTTAGCCAGATAATTCTTATATATAGATCATGTTCAATGGTATTTCGTACTATGCCACCACATAAGCTAAGGCTAAGCTATAAACTTACTTTCGTGTATATAGAAGAAATACGTTTAGTTTCATTGTTATTATTAACAGTAGTCAGTAACACATTTGCCTGTCTATGTAATATTTTGTCTCTAATAAATAAATCACATTTTTCAACACTCTTTCCAACTTGCAATCGTTTTGTTTTGAGATCAAAAATTCAAAATTTATATGGGGGGGAGAACTTCCTAAGGGGGGGGGATATTCCTAGTTATTTGCCCCCCTCTCAAAACGGGGCCCGATACTGATTCCTAGGATATTCGCATCCCGGGGGCGATATTCCTAGGAATATCGGCCCCCTTTTGACAGGGGGCGAATCTCCTGGGGGGGGGGCGAAATTCTTGTGACACCGGTATAGTGTAAACCGGGCCTTAATATTAATATTAAAAGTATGATTTAAATTGCACTGCATGCTCTTAACCAACTAGAATCAAGTAATTTTTCATGCATATTATTTGATATGTATAACTGAGTTTGGACCCATGTTGTGTTATTAACTTGTATTTATACATATTGCCTTGCATTTTTGAATGTGAATTTGCTCATTTGTCATAATCTTCAAGTTTTGCAATTGTCTACAATCAATCAGTCTTTTAATCGTCTTAAAACAAAAGGTACATATCTTAAATTTACAATAATTACTATTCTACAGTTATATTTAAAAATGAGTCTATTTACAAAGATGTTTTTAAATCTATTTGTGTTAATCTTAGGATGAATACTACTCTGCTTTCTAAGGTGGTAATAGGTTGGGTTTTTTTCTCAGGTAAAATCTTATTCAATTCAGAGGGGGTGGGCAGGGGGGGGGGCAAAATTGGTATAGTGGGAGACATAACGTCGTTTAAAACATCTATCTAAAAAAAGTTTGTACTATAGTCAGGTCCGAATCTGACGCACCATATACTGAAAGACCATAGGTAAGAACAGGTAAAACCAAGCTATTAAAAAGCTTATCTATTTCTTCCTGACAAACACCTTCTTTACGCAAAGATCTTATAACATACAAGCATCTATTTGCTTTGAGTAGTTTAGCTTTTATATGTAAACTATATTCACAATTTTCTTGAAGTGTCATTCCTAGAACGGAAAGATCTGCGCATTGCGGAATATGAAAACCGGTGAGATGACTTGATTAAATCCTTTCTTTCAGAATATCAGTTCTTTGCATTTTTCTGGATTACAGTTCATATCGTTACTCTGAGACCAAATTAAAAAATGACCCACCAAATCAGTTTGACATTCTTTATTTTTCAACACTGGAACAATTGTGTTGGAAAAGAGCAGGTCTGCCATCCAAATCTAATTCCAAATCATTCATGAAAACATTGTACAGATACGGTCCGCTCACGATTCCCTGGGTTGTGCTCTTGTTCACGAATTTCCATTCTCCATGGAAATTATTGTAAACAACTCGTTGTTGTTGTTTTTTTCAGAAAACTCAAATACCAATTAATGATAATAAACTTTTTATTAACCTCGCTTGCTCGGTATGTACAGAGAAATATCGGACCGAGGTCTTTTTTGTACAGACCGAGGCCGTAGGGCGAGGTTTGTACAAAAAGACTGAGGTCCGATATTTCTCTGTACATGCCGAGCAAGCGAGGTTAATAAAAAGTTTATTATATGGCATTTATTTATAAGCATCACATTTATACTTGAAACAAACACGAAATGCATGATTGGAGATGCATATCAGTAGCGTGGTACACATTTGGTCGAAGAAAACAAAAAATAGCAATGTATTCGTTCATTTCCACTAAAAACGATTCGCAGATATCTTATTAATAACAAATTGAATTATAATTTTCAATATATTAGTTTTGATGTTTTATTATAAAATGCATGCGTTTGTTACCGCCGGTCCATTACGGGGAAATAATGGACCGTTGAATGTGCTTCTCAGCCAATCACAGTCTGCCATTTCACCGGAAGTGATACTTGCCATATTATAAATGTATTTAACAGTAAACGTTTGAGTTTAAAGGACAGGAGTTCATGTCTTACACTGTCGAATGCTTTGCTAAAGTCCATCGTGAAAAATCCAACGGCTTTGCAGTTTGGATTGTCCAAATACCTATAAATCTCGTGTTGCATACTCAACAGTGCATCTTCACAGCTTCTTCCTAGCTTTCCGATAAGCAAACTGGGTAGAACTTAAAGATTGTTCAACAATATCACAAGTATGTATGTTATACACAGATTCTCAAAAGCACGTGCAACCGCTGGTGTATAATGTTAATTCTGTCGATATTCAGTCTAGTCTTTAATTTTGGAATGCTAACTTTTAGCCTGCGTGGCAGGCCCATTGCATGAACATGGGCCTGCAACAATCTCAAGGAAATTTGGTATTTCGGGGCCGTGAGCGGACTCAAAAGTTCTATTGGCTAGAATAATAATATATGCCAAAATACGCATAAATTATATAGAACCGTCTGTGGCGCAATGTTTAATGTTTATATTATACGCTTTCAATAAAAGCGTGTAGTTTTTGAAAGAGTATTGTGAATTTGGGTTTTAAACTAAAAACTGAACAGCTGCAAATCGTTGAGACGTTTTGGCAGATTTTCTCTTTGGATATCTGCCTTGACAAGTCGAAGAGCATGGATGCAAACCCATGCACGTGTTGGTATTTCTCTAAATAATACAGTAATACCCGATCAATTTGAAATATACGGATTGACAAATTATGTATCCTATTAAAGTTTGGAATACATATGTTGCTTTATGTATTTATGAAACTTACTACTCGATCTACAAAGGTTGCTTTTATGTTATTATGAGTTTTACAGCAGACTACAAACTACAGTGCAAACCTCGGTTGGCCAAATAACCTCTCATGGGAGTTTTGTTTCAACCTCGATCCCAGGGTCTTTCTTAGAATGGTGCGAAGAGGTTGGTTTTGTTTATTTGTTTTTTTACTTTTTTGTGATATGCATTGTGCTGTATGTTTTGCGTGCGAAGGACGAAGAATCATTGTCCTTCTGTTCAGGCAACACATGCTGTGCTTTTGTCCTTCACATGGAAAACATGCACATTCCGGTTATATAGAATAGCTTTTGGTGAACTATATTCAATTTCAAACTTATCGTGTTTAGCACGGCAATCATTTTTATTGTTTACAGAATTGCCTTCACAACTTACAGTATTTGACACAGATTATATTTTTGAGTATTGTGGCCCAATGGCAATGCACCCTACTTTATTATTTTAATGTCTCATATACCAGTCGATTTTGCTTGTCAAGGGGAGAGTGCTGGCGCTCTCAAATTCCTTAGGTTTGTATTGCAGGTAGGTGGCTCAGTTTTGAAGTTTTTGACCCCAGTTCAGGATTTTATCGAACCAGACACATGAAGTACTAAAATGCGGTGCCCTACAAATAAAATTTCCGGCGTTTCCGCCTACAGTACAAGTAAACTTATATTTAGTACGCTACATTCTTCTTTCGGCCGCCAGTTGGTCCGTATATGCTAGGATTAAACTGCGCTTTAAAACGTTCAACATAAAAATACTATCAACATGAAGAGAGAAGTGGGGCGAATCCACTGGTATACGGCCGAAAAAGAGAAAACTAACGATACCAAAGTTATCAGGATCAAACGTACTGCATTTTTTATAATTAGTTGAATAATTTTGAACGATTTGTCAACAAATACAATTTCGCTTGGCTTTCAAAGACAAAGGCCATAATTTCCATAAATCGCTAGAATACTGTTGTTTAGTATTAATACATTTGATATCCGTAAGTACAATTTCTTACGCTGAATCGAACGGTGGTATTTTTATCCTTATTGCACCATTAGGCATTACAATTTTTTGGGCAGTCGGGCAATAAACGTACTGCGAGTGATTTGTCATCAATACGTACTGCGAGCGATTTGTCAACAATACAATTTCGTTTGAATTTCAAAGGCCATATATCGCTAGAGTACTGTTGTTTAGTATTACATTTGCCTGATCCGTAAAAACGCTTTCTTACGCTGAATCGAACGATTGTATTTTTTATCCTTATCGGCGCCATTAGGCATTACAATATCATATTTCACACTACAGTTTTCACGTTCCACAGCTAACTATTAGGGACTGTTGTTGCATAAATCAGTTTTATATTGATATGACACCAATATGCTTCTCATGAAGTAGTTATCTATTAAAACTACGTTGTGTAGGTTAAGTTATAACCTTTTACCTTGCAATTGTCTTTGGCTCGTTTATAATCAGATTCAGTATATTATAATCGTGCACGGGCATTCAAAGATCCAAATTTCGGATTTGCAGAGTCGTGCACCAAGAAAAATGCATTAACTAAACTAGCAAAAATGCCCAGAGTTAGACACAATGCAAAATCCATAGAACAATTAGGTACAATTGCCCACTCCACGAAAGGCCGCCATATTGAAAAGGATAAATTGGGTTTATTAGGCAGCTCATTAATATTCTATTTGGTGGCTATCGACGATCGGAGATTGATGCCGAAACCTATACAGTCTATACTCGCCTGGGCAATCGCCTGGGCACAAGTGCCCCAGCGAGTAATTAGTGGACGGTGATCAAATTTCCTTGCGATTGTTGCAGGCTTTTATTTACCCATTGAGCCTGCCACGCAGGCTAGTCAACTTTGGATAACGGATTAAAGTTTTCTCTTTTCCACTTTTCCACGATTTTTCTATGTTCACTGACCAATAACTTTCATCCTGGTTTAAATTTTCCAAATATTTAGAAGCGCTATAACATTTTGAGTTATTTGGTCTACATATCTTTTAAAATTGATTGGCTGTTTTATTAATTTTCAAAAATAGGTACGCAGTGCGTACATGTGGCTAACCTTAACTTTGGGAGAGAAAATTAGAATTCATATCACAACACAGCCCAATGTCTGTATTGTGTTGAATTTAAAAAATTAGGCGATATCGTGAATATTTAAGAATTATAAAACATATTTCTGCGTTGATATAGTTATATAAAGACTATAATGAGACAGTCTTGTGGAAACACAACGCCTGAAGCTAAGGGCGAGTGTTTTCACATAATTTTGAGTTTTTCCAACTTCCACGAGTGTTTATATCAACTCAATATCAGTACGGAAAGATGTTTTATATATTATATATATAGCACTAGGAAATAAGAAAGGAGAAAATAATTATTAAATTAAATTCAAGAGCGGCTGGAACTTTCCGTGTTGACATGGAGTTAATTATAGCAACACGGCTCTTAGCCAATCAGCATTCAGAATTTACACATGTTGCATAATAATTGAATACAATATATATCGATGAAAGGTCGATCGCTAAAATCGGGCATAAAAGTTGGCAAAGTCGGGCATAAAATACGGGGTAGGGGAATAAATTTAATTTAAAAAGAGCAAACCTATATAGTACTACAGCCTACAGGTCTGACAACACAGGAAGAGAAAACTATTGATTATACGCAGGGGCGGCGCTAACCCTCTTCGAGTGGGGGGGTGTGAGTGATCTTTTGCCGACTGTTGTTTGGTAATTTTGCCGAGTCATTAGCCTATAGTAAATGTGCATGTTTAAATGCTCTTTATTACCCTCTAAATAAGCCGGTTTTCCACTAGCGAATTTTTCCGCGCGAAGCGACCTTTTTCCTTTGTCGGCATCCATTTTGAAGCCCTCGAAAACCGTCAAAATTGAGGTCGTCAAAATTGAGGTCAGCAAAAAAGGGCCGACCTAAATCTGACCTATATATGTCGGCACGTCTCGGCATTTCTTAAAATCTGTTTCACGTCTTGGAGCAGTATTCATCACGCATTTACGAAGCATTGAAATCGGAATATAATTGGAACGTTACCTCCAGCCGGAAAATTCGAAAGTTGAAGCCAAATTTTAACTCCAGACGCGCGAAATTTGATCTTCAGACACCTAACGTATATTACAAACTACGAATCGAATTCTATAATCGCTGACTTTTTAACAGCTATCAGCACCAAAAAAATTCTTACTTTCGTTGAATTAAGGTCGGCAAAAATCTGCCGACCTTGGAATGCCGACCTCGTTTTCGAGGACTGATTTTGCCACGTCTTGCTGACGTAATAAGTGATACCGACAAAGGAAAAGGTAGCTTCGTGCGAAAAAATTCGCTAGTGGAAAACCGACCGCTTTATTGCCTCTTTTAGAGAACAGTATAATAAGCAACAACTGAACAACAACAACCAAACAAATTTAAGGTGGCTCGATATAGTTATCACAAAAACCCTGCTTAAGAATCGCGAACTCAAAACCGAGTGACCATTTTTACGCGCAGGTCGCGGAAACTGATTACGGAGCTTTAGATTTGACTATGAGTACGACTACGAGTACGAGATTTGATCGCGTGCTAGGAAATTACCGTAGTCGTTTTCATTTTCACTCAAATGTTGTTTTTATAGCAGTAAACCAACAACGAGAGAAAAAGTTTCATAAACTAAATCTTCTGCAGACTAAAATCCCCTACAAAACGTGAAAATAACTCATAACATTAAAAACAGGCCAGATATTTAGTATTAATATATTATTTGCGCCGGATAAACGCTATATAAATGCTAGACATTATTTTTGGAAAACAAAAAAAAAGTCAACTTTCTTTGTTTTTTTGAAAAGTCGTCGTGAGGACTACGAGATTTATCCGCAAGTTCGTTCTCAGATGGGCGACGGCTACGACTTTTTCGCATCAGTACGGGATGGCGTAAGCATACAGCATGAGTTTTCGCTTGACGAATCTCGTACTCGTAGTCGTACTCGTAGTCAAATCTAAAGCTCCCTAATAACAAAATGAAAGAACTTCCAAAATGACCTGACGTGAGCAGTTGCTCGCGCCATATCACGCCATTGCGCATGTTCTGTAGTGTTTTATGTCAATTGCTGACGTCATTAGAATTTTCCATTTTAGAAAAACAATGCGCTATATCTCTTTATTTTGTCTGGTGACCTATGTTCAAATTTTGCATGCTGTATTGCACCGCTAAAAACTTTCATTTTACAAAAAATAAAAAAATTCTGTAATGCCAAAAATATTTTACCGAAGAGTACGACATTTTCGCATTTTCCAAAAAAATGGCATTACAGAATTTTTTATATTTTGCTAATTGTTAGCTTTTCGTCCAAGTAAAATAATGCAAGAAAAAAACTTTGGGGTCACCATGCTTCTTTTCCAACAAAACGAGACGATAGGCAATTTTGGAGTGAATTTCGTACACGTATGTCGTCATAGCAACGAACTATCTGTTACTAAAACTAATAAAATTTGAAAGTAGAGATATCAAAATATGTAAAAACCTCAATATTTGCTGAATAAATCCTAAAAATGCGTAGTTGGAACATGTCAAAGTGTTGAACACCTGAATTTTAAAAAACTGTATCAAGCCACCTTAGAAAGAATTTGCATTGCTGCATGTGTGGTTTCTTTGATGCATGCTAGTCGTGATATTCGGTTTGAATTCAATTATTCAGGAAGTCAATTTTGGTTTCTTCATGAGTGGTTATCTTTAGCCAATCCAGTTTTGCCGACTGAGATAATAATTTGCCGATTTGCTGACGAGTGGGGGGGGGGGGTGTTTCACCCTCCCCCACACCCACACCCCCGTAGCGCCGCCCCTGATTATACGGTATCACCTATCAATGTAATTCATTGATATCGAAGGATCGGAACTGTAGATCCGTTCCGAAATATCACATACACGAACCGACCTGACCGCGTAGCTCAGTTGGCAGAGGTTTGGGCTAGTATTCCAAAGGTCGTAAGTTCGATTTCCACCGTGGTCAGGCATATTGTTCAAGCTTGCCCGGTGTGGATATACACTCAGAGTAACATCACGCACAAGCTTCATATTCACCTAAGTACATAATGCGTGTATCAGCGGCTTCCCCCTGGGGTCGACCCCCGGGGATCTCACGGAGACCCAGAGGCATTTGCTAAGTATTTGTGTCCCTTTGGAGTGGAGGAAAGGTCAAATTTGGTTCTCACCCTAAAACCCACGGGAAAGTACCCCTGGGATTTGATAGGAAACTCCCAGATGTGGGCATGTGACTTCCTCGCAACGCGCGCAGCAGTATGCAAATTAAACAACTCCAAGCCAGTGTTTTTAACGCAAAAAATACATAGCGCAAAAAATACATAATAATTCAACAAAAAACAATATAAACAATGATTTATTAAACAAGTCATTGTTTATATTGTTTTTTGGGATTATTAATAGTCAACAAATGAGAGCTTATAATAGTTTTGTTTGTGGAAACACCACGTAAATTTATTACTGCAAAGCTTTCGATCCGTAAGCCCGGATCTTCATCAGTGCAATAATATTATTATTAGCACTGATGAAAATCATATTATTAGCACTGATGAAGATCCGGGCTTACGGATCGAAAGCTTTGCAGTAATAAATTTACGTGGTGTTTCCACAAACAAAACTATTATATATTTTATCGCCATGCAATGACTAACATGCTTTGACTGGGTAAGAGGACCAATCCCCCAGGGTTCCCGGGGGTCGACCCGCTGATACACGCATAACACCAACACAGAAAAAATCTTAATACCCATATTACTGTAATAGTATACAGCTATTTCGATTAAGGCTGTCCACGAGCAAAGCGGAAAAGTTGAATACGAGCGCGAAAGGCTGCTGGGAATCGCTTTGAAAATTCATTAAATTGTTATATCCGATACAACACAGCCGCTCATGTTATAAATAGTACTTATAAAATATTCTTTTTAACCTTAATTGAATGTCAAATAATCACTTCAGTCAATAGTTGCTTAGTGGTGAATTCAATATCAAAGTTTGACTTCTTAAATATGAATAGAGTGTACAATTAGTCACCAATTCAAAAGCCAGTATAGGTTTAATTTGTAACCTCCCCCCCCCAACCGGGGAGGGGCGGGGATTTTGACTGACTTAGAGGGGTAGTAAAAGAGCGAAAATGTCCCCGCCCCTGGTGAAAGGGTAATTAATCAATGTCCCCGCATGTCTCTCAACCCCGGGAAAATAGTTTTGTATATTTCATAGATCAGCAATAGAAAATCAAATTCATTGTATTTAGACTTTTCTTGTAAAGAAAACTAAAACAGCAACACAGGATATATATGTTAACCACTGAATTCATTCCCCAGCTTTCTTCCCCGCATCGTCTACCGAAAGAGAAAATGTTGTCCAAGTCCCCCATCATCGGGGACACATTTACAATCAAAACTGACCACTTTCCCCGCTAAATCCCCGCCCCCTCCCCGGTTGGGGGGGATTTACATTGACTGGTGCATAATTAATACACTTTCAAATATAAATAATATTGCTGTTTAGTATTAACATTACCTAAATGTGAATATGCCAACCAAAATAACAATGTTTTCACCTTCATCTTTAATGTTTTGTCGACAATTGGTTTATCTTTATCTCCATTGTTTTGTTGTGATGAAATATTGAACAAATAAATTTGGTATTATACCAAATTTCCAAAACACAATGAATCGGGAAATGATCGATGTTTATTTGTTTATAGGCCTGATCGCAGGTTACCTCATGTCATGAACGACAGTTTCCGAAGTTGACGACAATTTCCGTCACATCTTGACATCTTTCGTTTAGCTTTACATAGTGGCTAGCCCGCGAACGGGCTAGCTGCAAAAACTGAAAAATCGCGCAACCTGATACTCAGGGTTTTTACTTCCGCTATACCCCCCAAAACCCCGAGTATCAAGTTGAAAGATCGCGCTGCATTCTCGAATCGCGTCCGGTGTGTCTCGGCCTTTAGTTTTATGACAATATCTAAACCCCACTATTCCGTAAACATCAGGACAATCGGTTCATCAACTGCCTAAAATATACAAGAAAACTTCCCAACGTTACGACTTACCTCACTTTTAAAGGGCCTTCGTCAGGAGAGTTCAATGAAACAATATCCTATTCTTCTGTGTTGGTGTAATGCACTCAGGTGAATATGATGCTTGCGATGCCTTACTCTGAGACTCTGAGAGTATATCCACACCGGCAAGCTTGAAAAATATGCCTGTCCACGGTGTGAATCGAACCTACGACCTTTGGAATACTAGCCCAATGCTCTGCCAACTGAGTGGGCTAGTATTCCAAAGGTCGTAGGTTTGATTCACACCGTGGACAAGCATATTTTTCAAGCTTGCCCGGTGTGGATACACACTCAGAGTAACATCATAAGCATAATATCCTATTATCTCTTGTATATTTTAGGCAGTTGATAAACCGATTGTCCTGTTGTTATTTGAAGAAGCTGCCAAGCTGATTGTCTTGGATTGCAATATTCCGTGTTTTTCATATTCTGTTACCACTGGCACGGCTCCCAGCAGCAATTAATTGTTACGGGTATCTCATAAATTATTATATAAACACATGCATTACCCAGTGGGCATACGACGTCGTTTCGACGTTGAATTTAGGTTGAAATAGCGTCACGACGTCGATCAACCTAAATTCAACGTCATATCAACGTTGCTAATATCGACGTCGATAATAAGACGTTATTCTGACGTCGATTTGCCGACCTAATATCTACGTCGATGAAAAAGACGTTATTCTGACGTTGATTTTCCGACCTAATCTCGACGTCGAAAATGAGACGTCATCCTGACGTCTATTTGCCAACCTAATATCGACGTCGATAAAAAAGACGTTATTCTGACGTTGATTTTTCGACCTAATCTCGACGTCGAAAATAAGACGTTATTCTGACGTCTATTTGCCGACCTAATATCGACGTCGATGAAAAAGACGTTATTCTGACGTTGATTTTTCGACCTAATCTCGACGTCGAAAATAAGACGTTATTCTGACGTCTATTTGCCGACCTAATATCGACGTCGATGAAAAAGACGTTATTCTGACGTTGATTTTTCGACCTAATCTCGACGTCGAAAATAAGACGTTATTCTGACGTCTATTTGCCGACCTAATATCGACGTCGATGAAAAAGACGTTATTCTGACGTTGATTTTTCGACCTAATCTCGACGTCGAAAATAAGACGTTATTCTGACGTCTATTTGCCGACCTAATATCGACGTCGATGAAAAAGACGTTATTCTGACGTTGATTTTTCGACCTAATCTCGACGTCGAAAATAAGACGTTATTCTGACGTCTATTTGCCGACCTAATATCGACGTCGATGAAAAAGACGTTATTCTGACGTTGATTTTTCGACCTAATCTCGACGTCGAAAATAAGACGTTATTCTGACGTCTATTTGCCGACCTAATATCGACGTCGATGAAAAAGACGTTATTCTGACGTTGATTTTTCGACCTAATCTCGACGTCGAAAATAAGACGTTATTCTGACGTCTATTTGCCGACCTAATATCGACGTCGATGAAAAAGACGTTATTCTGACGTTGATTTTTCGACCTAATCTCGACGTCGAAAATAAGACGTTATTCTGACG